TTTGGTAAATTGAAGATTTGCTTGATTTTTAGGTGTTGTTTTTTTAACTCTCAAAAGGTTTGAAGGTTTGTCTATATTTCTTATGTGTTTAAGCGTTAAAAAGAATTTCTTGCCTGGTGAGCAATCAACATCAAGTTCCCAGCAACAGAGTCAGGAACTCAAATTAAAGCTGGTCCAAAAAGAAGAGGAAAACTGGCATTTTAAAAATACAAAACAAAACAAACTTTTTTTTAAATCAACCCGTGATTGGATTGGTCAATCCACAGAGAGAATTTTCATGGCCATTTCCTTGTTTTGTTTTGTTTTTCCCACTTTTTTTTTATTTTTAACATTTTAAATTTTGCCAAAATTCCAAACAAGTTGAGCAGCAATACTGTTAATGTTGTGCCAGCAAAATAAGGGTAACATAAAAACTATCACATGATACAAGCCCCTCTTCAATCCTCCCAAACATGGGGATGGGAACTCATTTGTAGGGCCAGATGTGACTGGCAGGGGATGGAAGTGGTTTGATGTGATTTTTTTTGTTTATTTTTAATTTTAAAACTTTGTAAGGGGCACCTAGAGCTTGGGAATGGGTGCTTTCTCCTACCCACTACATTCTTCTGCCCTATGACCTTGCCCTTGGATTACACATATATAATTCATTGTCTGATTACCTACTGTTCTTTAACTTATGATCTGTTGGCTGTCTTTACTCACTATCCCCATGTGTGCATCTCACACTAGTTTATTTTATAGGGACAGTCCCGATTTTGGGGGCTTTTTCTTATATAGACACCTATTACCCCCCAGCCTGATTTTTTCACACTTGCCCTCTTGTCACCCTACACTTAGTTCTTAAATTTTTCATGGCCATGTCTATCCCCAGTCTCACTCAGAGCTCCTAAATTCACATGAAGGAATTCTGCATGTGGACCAAGGACCATACTCATCTTGAATCAGAATTCAATTCTTATCATTTTTTACCATTATATAACTCCCTTGTTGTCATTCCTGTTTAAATCTCTGCCTTGTGCACTCCTTCCACTGTCTCTCTCTCCCACTGATGATAGGGCAGAGCTACCCCTCCATCTGGCAGAAAAATACAAAGTCATGTGGCAAACTCACTAAGATGGATCTGAAAACTCACTAAGATGGACTTCCTCCCCATACGGAAGTAGATTTTCTGGCCTGAGGAAGGGAAGGTTTTATGCCTCTTTCACTATACTGGCATACCAAGCCATAGAAGTGCTATAGATTTTGAGGCATCTTCAGGGGCCAGCCCCCATACTGTCTTTTCCCTGGGCTCAGGCCACACTGAATAGGGCTAGAGGGTATGGAAAAGGACTCGAGATATGTCTACACTACAATAAAACACCCGCAGCTTGGGCTGCAAGGCTATAAAAATTGCAGTGCAGATGTCTGGGCTCTAGCTGAAGCCTGGTTCTGGGACACAATAAGTGGGGAGGGTCCCAGAGCTCAGGCTCCAGCCCAACCCACAGACATCTACACTGCAATTTTATAGCCCCTTAGCCCAAGTCAGCTGACATGGGCCAGCCGTGGGTGTTTTGTTCCAGTGTAGACATACCCAGAGAGAGAGTTAATACTGACAGTGGCAGGACCAGGAGACTGTGTGGTGCAGTTATCCCTGGCCTGGCCCTCCTCTACCTGGTCATGCCCATTAAACACAGGGAGAGCCATGACCACATAGTGGATCTGATCCTGTTCCAGTGAAGTCAATGAGAGTTTTGCTGTTATTTGCAAATGGAGAAGGATCAGACCTGAATGAGGTTTCTGCAGACTTGTTACTACTGAATAATACTGCCACTTGGCCCCCTTTTCTTCCCTCCAAACATTCTGGGGGAAATGGAGCAGGATTTCTTCTTTTGTTAATCTCTTGTGCATCACACAGCGGGCAGAATGATACCACCTATATAACCCTATTCACTCTCTCTATAGAAGAAAGTCCTGTAGAAGGCCTTTGATGAGATGGATGACCAACTTTCATACGTACCTCCATCCTAATACTATTTTTCCACCAGCCAAATTAATGTGTTCCTTTGTAAGAGGTGGACACCAAAATACTATAAACTCAGAACAAAGTGTTTAAATTTTAATGCTCAGGACTTCTTCAAACTTAAGCTGCTTCATGCATAATATATGTACCTCAGAGGATAGACATGTTACGCCAAGATGGATTATTAGTTTGATTTATAGTTGTAATATTGCTGTAATGAATTACTCAAATTAGATTCAGGTATATGATATACTTTACAATGCTGAGGGGAGGGGGTGGAAATAGCTGGAACTCGGCAAGATACTTGGATACAATTTGCGCCCACATGATGAACACCTAATAGTCTGGGAAACTTTTCAGAACTATCCCCTGGGATAAGGAAAAATAATACTAATATCTGCTTGATCTTCATTTTACTGCAAACACATGGCTCTTAAACCAAGATTCCCTTCATTCCCACAGTGAAAGGTGCATTAAGCCACTGAGCCATTGGCTTTTCTTGCCTTAATCATACTGAAACTGATATCTACACTGATAAACTACCTAATTTAATTTTTGTTCCATGCTAATTTCCTATGTTATCTTAATTTAATCCCCATTCATTCTGTTTACTTGATTTACCTATAGTAATGATTACATTCTAGTCATCTATATTATTTCTGTTGAGTTCTTCAATTATATATGTATACTCATATACAATATTTCTGAATTATTTCTAAGTCTCAAAGATACTGGGAACTTAGAGTAAATGCCCTATCACGGCTGATAATTAAACTTACCTTCAGAGAAGTATCCCTCCTAGTCCCCATTTATGCAATAGATTTTAGATGGAGCATGTGTATTTTTCCCTTTGGATATCTATGCTACACCCTGATATGCATTCATAAATGGGCAGACCCAAACAGAGAGACCCACTTTTGACATAATAAAGAAGTATTATGTGTATGCATAATCTGTATGTGTATATTATACAAACACACACACACAAATCAATCTCATTCTCTGTCCTTTAAATATGTACCGCTATATTATGTGAAGAACTGGGTTAGATTAGTTCCTGATGTAACTCCACTAAAGACTTCAGTGGAGTTATGCCAGAGAAGAGTTTAGTCCATTATGAGAGACAGCACTGTAGGATAGTACAATAACTGGTAGCACTATAATAAGATTAAAATAAGATGAAGCACAGTAAAGAAGAGTGAGGATAATATTGTGGATCAGCTCAGAAGTTTAGCTTTTTCTTTGCTGAATACTGTAATTAGCTAAAGGTAGCATTATATCATTCATGGCTTAATGCAGACAACCAATTGATATACCTCTGCCTCCCCCAGTGTCTAATGATGTAAGGTTTCTGTTCACAATTAAATACATTTCTGATGTGGCTGCAAGTCTTCAGCCAAAAACACCTGAAGAACAGAAGAAAATTAATCGCCAACAGAACTTTTGAAATAATCGGGCAAAAGACAATTTACTGTAAAAGATTTTGCTTCGAGCCCAAGTAATCTGAAAACTTGCTTACAGTTGGCAAGCTCTGATGGACTTACATGAAAAAATTGTAAAAAACAATGACAAGGAATCAGGAAGAAATGACGAGAAGTAAGGAGCAGGCTGACCTAGAATCAAATGATGAATTGTCTCTACAGCATTTTAGGAGCCAAGTATAATAGGACTTCTTTTCCCCCAAGGCCTGTGAAATAATCAGGTACAGTAGTTGAGAAACAGATTCATATCTCTGGTTTTGTTGCAGAATCCCATTTAGAAGTACATGAGCTACATATTGATATGTGCAACTGAAAAGGTTTCTTCAAATCACACTGTCATCCCATCAACAATTTGTATGAGACCAAAAGAACTGCAATGTATATGTGAGTAGTTCTCCTCAATGAATCTACTCAAATCTGCAGCGAGACATGGATGTGTGTTTATATCAGGGGTCGGCAACCTCTGGCACACGGCTCGCCAGGGTAAGCACCTGGCGGGCTGGGCCAGTTTGTTTACCTGCCGCATCGGCAGGTTCGGCCAATCGCGGCTCCCACTGCTTCGCCGTCCCAGGCCAATGGGGGCTGCGGGAAGCGGCGTGGGCTGAGGGATGTGCTGGCCACCACTTCCCGCCACCCCCATTGGCCTGGGACGGCGAACCATGGCCAGTGGGAGCCGCGATCAGCCGAACCTACCGACGCAGCAAGTAAACAAACTGGCCCGGTCCGCCAGGGTGCTTACCCTGGCGAGCCGCGTGCCAGAGGTTGCCGACCCCTGGTTTATATTAAAGTATCTATGGAGATTTTATATATAGTGTGTATATATATCATTATTCTACCTAAAAATATACCTAACTTTAAAAACATTGAAGGTGCTGCCCCTTTAGCAGTGTGAAAACTGGGACAGGAAGTACGATTGAAGGGTAGCGTTCTGCTCTAAATATACCTGTTAACTACAACAATAGAAAGTAATGTTCTACTATTCAAACAAGGTGATTGGCTGAACTGTGTCTCATGACGCACATAAACCACTTTCCACTCTGAGAGCAGCAGATTACTCTTCACTGTTCTGACATAGACCATATGGCAGGTGTTTAAGCGCTTTTTTTTCTTGTGTTTGGTGTGTGTGTGTGTGTGTGTGTGTGTGTGTTTTTAAACCATCAGTACAAAATGAAAATTTTATTTCAGCTGTGTTTGCATCATTAGCTTGCTGGCAATCATATAAGCCTAAATTATCCATGCAAGCAGTTTCATTTATTGAGATCTCTTGCAGTAAAAGAGCAGCAATCAAATCAGTCAGCCCAAATTATCCTTGACATTAACAAAGGGCTCTAGGATCATTGTAAGAAATGACTTTCTTCTCTTATTACCAGGCAGCAGCAGCACAGCACAAAATCTAGTTTAAAATAAAAATGTTTATAAAGAGCATGTAATTTTCATTGCCAGTGTTTGTTGTATTCAATGTTTTAATAAAACAGGCTAAATATACATTATACAGATACGCTACAATAGCTTGTACTTACTTCAGCTGGGCAGCCACATGCAAAAAAATATTCAGGCCCTGATTCTGCAACCTCATCCACATCAGCAGATTCTTATGCTTGTGCAGAGTCCATGGAGCGTCAAGGGGCACTGCAGAGAATCAAAGGTCCATCTGTGTGCATCAGTTTAAGTTTACTGGCTATAAGCATAAAGACAAAGTTTAATACCCATCCAGGCTGTTTCTGGGGTACTAACATTCTCACTAACTGTTTCTTACTCTTATCACGTCTCCGTTGTCTGATGTCAGTGAGAGTTTTGCCTGAGCAAAATCTAAGTAAGGACTTCAGGATTTAGCTCTATTACATGGGAGCAGGACTGGTGTGCACATGGGGATCAAGGCAACTGGTTAACTATTCGTCAACATCTGAAATGCATTGTCAGTGGCATCCTCTTTGAAGCCAGTAGAAGTTTCCCATGTGGAAAAGCCAAGTAAAACCAGAGGATCTGGCCCTTAATGTAACTTTGCTCCCCTCCTTGTAACATAGGTCCCAATAATCATTACTTCTACTGACATAGATAACTAATGGGTACTGTTCAGAGTTCAACTAACAGCATTGACTAGACAGCTATGAAAAACTAAGATGTAACAAGAAATTATTGAAGATTTTTATTGTTAAGAAAACCCATCATGCTTACTCCAAATCCATTGAAAACATGGGGAAAAAACAAAGCTACTAAGCAAGGAAAGGACAAAATTAGTAGAAAGGAAAAACATACTCAAGTGTCAAAGAGCTACTGGGAGCAAAAATACAATTAAAGCTAGTAAAACAATATCCTTGTATTGACAGTGTCCTACAAAATACTTCTAGTTTGGGGTCTAAATATTATTTCCAGTTAAACATTGTAAGTGGAAACAAATATGGCCTTGTGGTTAAAGCAGTACTTACTTTGTGCCAGGGCTGAGCCAGGGCCCCCCTAGACTTGGCAGTTCATAGCCCTGGCACCTATGGGCTTGCCACATCAGTTATAAAAATAAAATATTGCCTGAGTCCCAGCACCTCTTTCATTACAAATTAAGCACTGGGTTAAAGCACTGGACTTGGACTCAGGAACTCTGGATTCAGATTCCAGCCCTGTTCTATGCCAAGCACTTTATTCTCTCTGTGCCTCAACTCTCCATCTTTAATGTGGAGAGGATACTCTACGCAGCATTCTGAGGATAAATTCCTATGTTAATAGCTGCCATATAAGAACACAGATAGATTGAGGAGCTGTTGTCTGCTGGTAAGAGCAGGGGACTAGTAGACAGAACTCCTGAAATCTACTCTAACCTCTGCCACTGAGACAGTGACTCGGAATCAGTGTGTGCTTTTGGCAAGGTCTCAGGTTAACATATGCCTGTATGAAAAAAAATAATGCTTATTTCCTGGGAGCAGGGGAGAATTGTGGAATTCAATTAATTAAGGCTTATGATGTTCCTTGAGATACTTAAATGAAAAATGCCATAGAAATGCAAAGTATTATTACTAATCTCTTAAAAAAACAGAAATAGCTATAATTAGAGGGCCATACCCTGCTCTCAGTTTTGAAGCCGAACTCTCCATTATTCTCTGCTGTTCACAGTTCATTGCTTTCTGGTTCCTGTAATAGAAAAACAAACAATAATGATATAGGCAGCGATTTACTTGGCTCAGAAAACTAAACACTCCAAAGCTGCCTTTTCCTTGAAATCAACCCTTCTAAAATGTTTGGTTACCTTTTATTCTACATGTACCTTTAAAAAAAAAATCATCAGCCATACCCTGCTGCCTCCCAACCATTCCTGTCATGATGCCTGGCATCAAGTACTGGAATCAGTGTTTTGAGAAGAGTGATTAAAAACAATGGGGAATTCTCCTTCAAACTTCATGACATAATGGCAAAGCTCACATTGACTTCAAAAAGTCCTGGACTTCACTCATTACATATGAAGAGTCCTCCAAAACTGATGGCATGACATGAGTTATACTATGCCCTTCTCTAATTACCTGGTAATTATATAAAGGTTCCCTGGAGTAAATGTTCTGATTTGTACTATACCATAAGTTCTGAAGAACTCTCCATTGTTTCCAGTCACTTTCCCCAAGACACTGATATGATGCCAGTTCAAGATAGGACATGTTGAGCGGCAGCCAAGTATCACTGATATACATGTTTTTAAATGTATATAAATATACACATAGATACATAGCTTGATTGTGTCTGCCTATACTTTGATTGTACTGGTTCCAAGGCCCCTACCTCTACCATGCATTACAGTATCCCCTTTTTCCATCCTTCATATGTTGCTTGCCTTCCTAGATTGTAAGCTTTTCATGGAAG